TTGAGACAAAAGCAGACGCAGTGATCAATGACTTGTGCTTTTACATTTGTTTAGAAGGAAGAATAAAATGAAGGACTAAAGTATCACTTAACATACCAGCGATTAAATCGCAGAATATTTTCTGCTTAAATGACACACACACTTACAAACTATTTATTAGTCATCATGGAAAACCATTATAACATAATTTGTATGCCACAATTTTTTTCTTCCTGGAATATTTCAAGAGCCATCAAGAGTCATCTCAAGGACTGGTCTCCAAATATGTCTATCAGAATCTACCTTAGCCGTTAGGATCAATATCTAATTACACGACTCTATATTAGACGCCCTTACCCCTGTGCCACTCGAGCGATGAGTTTCATTTGTAGCTTGAATGCTAACACCTATATATTCTAACATTATATACTTCCTTTCTTGTCTTTTTATAGATATTCTTAAAAGTTAGTGTCAAGAATATCAAGAATACCAGCATCTCTTTTAAATTTTTCCCTCTGTAAGTTCTATGGTCGATATAATAACCTGTTCAGCAAATACAATTTATCATTAGTCAAATGCTGACTGACATTTTTTCGTACAAATTGTTTGTCAATTACTTATACACTAAACTGACGACAGAATTTTCCGTTGTTTCCGAATCAAGACAAGAAGCACATGGCGGAAGTGAACAATCGGCATTGGATGCTTACTCCTCCATGGGACCTGATCCCACCTTTGATGTTTTGGAAGTCCGTGTTTACTCTCATCCTATTTTCAACTGTTTTCTAGACTTTTAATTTTGAATACTGTCCATTATCTACATATGTTTTATTTCTTTGAAGATGGTACAAGATGAGCCCTAAGTTTGCCGAAGTTTTCCGACGATAGCAACCCAGGTATTTTAGTATAACGTTGGTAGCTATTTTTTCCTTTTATATTATTTTATTGAAATTATTAAGCCATGACATACTCTTCTGGTTGTTTTTCCAATCAACAGCCCGTCATTTTAGATATCAGGAAGTTAAACAAACATAACAATCCACATTTTTTCTCTTTTTTCTCAGCATGTAATCCTGCATGGTATGATAGAGACTGTAAAGAAGTGTGCGGTTTCTGTTAAGGAAACAATCCGTGCCATGGTATGACTGGATCTTCATTTTACCACAATTTACACGGACATTCATATGTTAATAATTCCAATCTTAATTTTATTTATTGATTCCCTGTGTTTTGATTGGACGAAAACAAATTCAAGAAAAAGTTTACACATCGATGAATTCTTCAATAAGAACTACTTTGACTGTTGTAAAAACATTGAAAACAGATACTTCTAGTCCGTTTTAGCTAAATTATGATTACAAGAAACTGTAAATAAAAATGAATGAATGAATGAATGATCGAATGAATGAATGAAAAGGAGATAAACAGGACTGACAGACGGGAATATTATGTTTATGTCACTGTCGGATCACGAGTGTGAATTTTAAAAAATCGCTGATCATGCTGTCATTTTCTCGACGTTCCATATCAGCTCAGTTGGTATCGTTGTGATAGGGAAAAGAAACGTACCTCTCTTGCCTTTTTAGCATCAAATTCATATGTTTACATCCTACAGATCCCATATTCTCCCTAAATCTTTGAACGAACCAGAGCAAATCGAGGACGTCGTCGGTCTGCATCTTTCATTATGACGTTGTTGTTAAAATGTCAACATGACCATGGTCAAGGACGAATTATTCTGGAGAATACGCGTATTTGCGATATTTGTTGACTTAAACAACATTGAATGAGTTTTAATAAGTTTATTTATTGATGGTTTTGACAATTTAAGTTGGATTTTATAATATTCATCTTGTATACGTTTCTTTGCGGCATAAAGTATTCCTACGCCGTACAAAATAACGGATTGTATGGCGGCCTCAAAGGGAAAAATTTAATAATTTAGAAAATTCGTCATTGGAATTCGCACTTTTATTCAGTTTGTGAGTAAAAAGGCAGAGTTTACACATCGATAAATTCTGAAAAAAGAACGTTTAATCCTATAATAGACTGACTTTAAAATTGAAATATATAATTTTTCTGTGACGACATAGAGAAAAAAAATGAAAATTTTATTAGCCTGATAAAAACATGAGAAAGGTAGATATCATAATAAATCATCACCTGTCAATTGCCCTGAGTGCCCAGTAAAGGTCTAATTTTGAAGCTTTTCATAGATATACAACGACGTCGCGCGATATGCGTGAGATGTTTCGAATATTGCACCAGGAAGAATGTATATTTTCGACGTTATTATGCTCTAACTAATTAAGTTCTTAAAAAGTTATTAACTTGACTTTAACAAGAGTTTAGTAGTAAATATGATAAATTATAAAGAATATAGCTCGAAAAAAGGACCATTCTGGACATATGACATCATGATTTGGTTCATTTCTCAGTTTGATGCAAAAACGCCTCAGAATGACCCATTTATGTGCTTGCATTATTTCCCTTAGGAAAAAGTGTCTGTCACCGTCGCGGACACCAATGTTTGGATATGTTATGTTAACTTATATCATTTTGACGAGTCATTTTCTCTTATAAATGAAGGTACTTAACAATTGAGGGCTTGGTTTAGGGAGAGTGTCTTTTCATTTTCATCTTGTCACATAAAAAAGTACATACTTTTTAGTATTTCAAGTGCATGTCATCCTGAAAGAAGAGGGCAGCCAGTTTTATGGGACAAGTTAAATGAAAGATTATAGTGTGTTTGTAAACGATGATGTTCAATAACTGCTACATGCATCTGAGGCCCCCTTTTCTTCGACGAATTTTATTTAATCTTTAACAGTTTTGATAGTTTTCAAACATGACCGAATAAATACGTCCTTCCTAATAGGTCCATAAGTCCCGACATATTTTCCTTATTTTAAATATAAAGATTGCATCATTATCTATGAGTTTTAAGACCCCAGACAGCAAAATTTGACCTGATTTTAGACAGTTTGTTCTTTAATGAAAAGAAACATGCCCAGTCTTGCAACATTAGCGGGGTATGCATTTCAAAGGAATTTCCCTTATACCGCTATTGTTATCATTTTGCTTATAGAAAACAATTGTCCTGTGAATCTAAAGGAAAAAAGATTCTATAAGATATGAATATCTAAAATTAAAGAAGAAGGTACGGTTTGGGCTTGGTCATGTCCTTAAATTTTCATGTTCTTAAAAAGTTATTAAATTGCCTTTTACAATAGTTGAGAAGATGGATATAATAAATTAGTAAAGAATATGACATGAAGGAGGACCATTCTGAGAATATGACGTCATTGATTTGGTATATTTCTAAGTTAAATGCAGAAAAACCTAAGATGACTCATTTCTCTGCTTATTTTCCTTCAGAAAATAGTGTCTGCCACCGTCACCAGCTGCGATTTTCGGATATAATATACATTTATTGCATGATAGTGAGGGAAATATGAAGACTTATTCAGCCAAGAAAAATCATATTCCCCGAGGGCTTCGCCCGAGGGGAATATGAAATTTCTTGGCTGAATAAAGTCTTCATGTTTCCCGAACATTCATGCAATGAATTGTTTATTATACCGAAACAAGCAAAACCTTTGAAATAAACACAAACTTTCAAATTCGGGACCGCTCTCAAATTCACTTTCATCGTTAACGTAAAGTTTTGTGACGTAAACCAGGCTATTGTGACGTCTAATACTCTCGGGAGTTTTCGTTCAACGAACGAGAACTATAATGGCGGGAAAATACACTAGGTATTCCGAAGAGGTGGAATATGATGAAAAACGTGAAATATGAAGTTTTACGGTCCGATCACGTGATAACTTTGAACCAATCAGATAACGCGTTGTGTAGAATATTTACAATGAGGTATAATAATTTATTTTGTAAACTGCTTTGACAAATCACATTTTATAAAAATCTTTGTGGGCGAGGGTGGCAGAGTATGTTTTCAGGAAAGAAATTTCAATGCAAATTAATGTCTTTTGCCACTTTTTTGGAAAATACGGTTAAAGACACAAGTTAATGGCGTCACAATTAACATTTAGATCATGTGAGAAAAACGATTTATATATCCTTACTGAATAGAACTCCTATGAATCAAAAATAGATAAATTAATTTTCATTTCTTATATCACATTCATATTTTTGTAAAATACCGGGATTAATGTGTATTGAAAGTGTACCTTGTTCTTTAAATGTTACTAGTTGATTAAACGTATATGTACTACCCCCATAAATTTGACTTAGTGTCTGCTTTTGTCTTATATTATTTCTGTTCTTTCTTATGCAATTTGGAATTAAATCACCGATTTAAAGCTTTAGAATTAGATACGATTAAAAGGACATCCGATAACAATTGAATAATTTCAAAAATATGCAATCTTTACCATGTCCCCCAACTGTCATTGAAAAGATCTTAAATGCTAGCTTCACAAAGTGATAAGTTCCCTACACGTGTGGTTGTATGGTATAATTTAATAAAAATAACAAATAAAAATGTGATTGTTATGATATTCAAATTAGCATTATGCGCCATAAAGTATTTCTGTTACAAATACATGTAATTAAATTACTGTAATATAACTAATGACTATTAATACAAGTCTGTTTATAAATTCATCAACAAAAAGACTTATTTCCCTTTTTTTAACATTAATGGTAGTACTAAGCTTATATTTTACGATAAGCAAAATACATGACTTTCTGTCTAAGAACAGATAAGAACCTGAAATAAGCGTAGATACCATAGTATTCACTTATAGTGATGTGTGCCTAATAATGTAGTTGTCATACATGTAACGAGGCATGATCAAAAAGTTCTCGAACTCTCTATGTATTTACAAAACCACTATTCAGATAAGAATAAAATTAAGCACACATGGAGACCTACACATGTTATATAAATAGCATATGTAATGGAACGTTTTGCTCCGTGTTTATGACGTCACAAGGTGAAAATGACGTCATAAGGTAGTTCACTTGTGACAAAAAATGGTTGACTCAGTCGTTTGCGAGAAACTAACGGCTATAAAGTTAAACATATATCCTGCAAAAGTTTATAATAATCTGTACAGGGTTAATGAAGACAAAAGACTTGCCAGAAGTGTTTTAAATAATTGGATTGATTGTTTGAGTGAAGGAAGGAAGATGTTTAAAAAAATCTTTGTTCTGTTGCCCAGTGAAAGAAAACTGGGAAAGAGGCGTTTCCTTTGTTAAGCAGTTAAGCAATTTGATATGAAAGATCGCAAACTTGCAGTTAGAAATATAGATAAATATCTTTACAATTATATAATTATTAAATCCCTTAAATATCATTTACCTTAGACTTTAAACATTTCATATATCAAAATTGAAGTCACCCACTTTATCCACATGAAATAAACGACGGTGAAAACACAGAGGACCTGGGTTTTAATGGTCACCATGTTCATTCTGCAAAAGGATATCATTATCCATCCATACTATAGCAGAGATTAGGCCATTTTGACAAATGGACTGTTTCTGTTGTAAAAAAAAAATAACTTGCATGGTAAGAAATATAAGAGTTGGAAATCATTTAAGCCTCAGTGACAGAACGTCAAAGAGCATGTCACGTAACCGCCTATATTAAGTGAACCGCAGAATGGTTGCAGATGCGCATTAAAATCGGAGAGGACTACAATGAAAAATTTTCAACACTACAATATATCATTTTATATTGGAAGTCATTTAATTAGTTCGCGAACTTTTTGATTACCCCTCGTTTGTTTAAAAAGAAATAAGATATCCTTCAAGCTTTTGAAAAGGAAGTAAATTTAAAAAAAAATACTTCAGTTGTTTAGATTATATAAGGGAAGAAAAATTTTCAGATTTGGTATTATAACAATTGACGATTTGACAGATGTACATGATGTATCTTGCTCCTAACAATAGCATTTGATCAAGTATGGGATTTTATGCGAGTAATGCATTGTTATTATATGTTTGGATTTATTCCCTACCTTTTGCTATAAGTTATGGTAGGTATCATTTTTCCAATTATCTACTTAAGAATTTTAAATAGAAAAATGTTAAGCAGCAATCTTTGGAAATAACGCTGGTGACCATTACTTTATTTTTATTAATTTCTTGGATTACTGACTTTTTATTGTTATGTGTTCTCATATGGAATCACAAAATGAAGTTCACACCTTTGATAGGTCATACAACCATATACATGAGTTTATCATATATGTATTTCAGTATTTCATAAGAATAAAAAAAAAATATGCTTAAAAAGAACAAAATATGCAAAATATGGCTTTTTTATGTTGACAAGGCTAATAAAATAAGGAAAACTGAAGAAAATAAGTAAACTTAATATTCTTTCGACAAATAGTAATACTTTTATGTTATACATGTAATATATTATTTTCCAAAGACCAGCTTGTAAATACTGCGATTACAGTAGTGAGTAGCAGTTCCACATATTCAGATGGATCTTACGCTGGGTCTGCTGACAAAACAATTGACAGGAACTTCGATCAGGAGTATAAAAGCTGCATGCATACAGACGTTGGAAGGTCAGAAGCCTGGTTACAAATTGATCTTGGAGGCATCTTTAATTTGAAAAGTGTAAAATTATGGTATAGAAATGAGAGAAATAGTAAGATATTTTTTATATAATTTCTTTGTTCAATGTTAATGGGGAAACAATAATAAAAGAGTTTACCTAGCTTTACTAATTTTTCTTTGAAGAAACCTCTCTACACTACCCACTTAACAGTTCTGATTCTGTGGCATTTTTTTCTGCAGTAAGAGTGATTTGCCCTTAGATCTTCATTCCAATAAATAGAAATGTACAGTATACATGTATTACATATTTTGTAATCAATTCAAGTACATCTATTGTTAACATTTGAAGAGGCCAGGATAAATTCATTGAAAATGTTATTTAATTTTTTTTTTCTTCACGTAAGTAAAAACAAGGATTTATATTCACTGATGCAATGATGTGTTTGTCCATTTTTCCCGGGGGTAAATTCCATGTATCAAATATTGAAAAGAACAAGGTACAGTTTCAATACAAATTAAGTCCTGTCCTTTTCTAAAATATTAACTAATATAAGAAATTAAAATTCATTTTTTCTGAATCGTAGGAATTCCATGCAAAAAGAATACAGAAACTGCGTTTCATAATACCTCCTAAATGCTAATTGTGACGTCATTAACATGCAATTTCCAGTATTTTCTAACAAAGTTGCACGGGACATCGATTTGTAGTGGAATTTTTTTTTTTTTTTTGGTTTTTGTTTTTGTTTTTGTTTTTTTTTTTTGTTTTTTTGTTTGTTTGTGACTTTTCTACTCATATGGAGAAGCCCACTTGCGGGTTGGTGCTTCAGATTCAAATATTCAGATAGACAGGCAGGCAAACGCATGGGCAAAAAAAAATCCAGATCTTTGATAAACGGGGTTTAAAAAATACTTTTACGAAGCTATAATCCTTCGTATAACTGTTATCTATTCAATGAAGGATATGGAGATAACGAACAGTATTCAATCTCAACGTCCATTAAACAATATACAAAATAAAAGAAGAGCAAACACGGACCTCTGAAACATCAGAGGTGGGATCAGGTGCCATGGAGGAGTGAGCATCCCCTGCCGACCGGTCACACCCGCCGTGTGCTCGTTGTCATGATCAGGAAATAATTTGACTTTTTCTATGATGGACAAACAAGACAGGACACAGACACAAGACATTTATACCACAAATAATTACCCTCGAGCTCGGTGCACGTAAAAGGGGAAAGATTTATTTTTTTTTCTTTTAAGGTATACCTTTACGCAGATGACTAAAATTGCACTGATAAGAAGGAAAAACCACCAATTGCACATTGTACACTTACGATTCTTGTGTTAAATTTCAATTTCAAATAACTAGGTCAATGACCTCGTTTACATGCTAGGGGCCCCTGAATATTTTTTGGGAAATACCTCAATTTTTCACACCATGACCATTTTTATTCACTAACAATATATTACAAGCAACAACACTCTTTAAATCATGAAATATTATAGCAATAGAACAGGGTTGCTCCATATAAAGAAATGAGTAGAGTTTGGGCCATAAACGTGATAATTATTACAGTCCGAATTTCCTCTGTCATATATCTGACTGATAAGAACTCTTAATTATTTATAGTCTCTGGCTACTTTTGTTACCCTCATTCTCATGGTATTAATATTAAATTGGGTCAATGATCAAAGTATTGAGATATGTTGACTACAGTGGTTTTTGTACATGTTTTTGAATTACTTTATTTCATAGCATTCTTTTATTTGAAATAATTTATGAGCTTAAACACAAATCAAATTTGAAAAATGATGTCTTTAAATACATGTAACCTTTACTTTGTGATTAATATTGCAAGAAATAAAAATTTTGAAAAAAATGAAAAATTACAAATTTAGTCCGAATTTCGTCTGCATAGCAATACATTGAGTTTTGTTCCTGTATAGTTTCTTCAAGTATTTACATATTAAATTTCTAAATTGATATTGAGATAATCTTATGATTATATATATATTTTTATTTGAAGAATCAAATAATTTCATTTTATGTCTTTTTAAGGGGGAAAAGACAAAAATACGAGAAGACTCAAAGGATTTTCAATTCTGGCGTCACATCTGTCAAATGTAGATAAAAGGTACCAATGTTATCAAGACCCAGGAAATGTGACTCTTGATACAGTGCTTGAAGTAAACTGTACACGTTTAGCGCGGTATGTCACGATTTATAATGATCAGAAGAACGATCCAGGCGGTGTATTTCTGGAGATCTGTGAAGTGGAGATTTACGGTATGACTTTCTGAAACAGTGTAACACAGTATACATATATGAATATAAAAGAAACTCAGTTCACGTACAAGTCACCTAAGATTTATCTGACAAAAATGAGTAGAAAAAACGTTTTAAGAAAAGTACTGGTTTTCAATTCATAGAATAAGAAAACTACTTTTAAGGATGTTTATTTAAAAGAAAGTCTTAACTGAATACGTATTTACTTAAATGTAGCAGTTGATTACATCTTATTATGTTGTTAATGTTAACATCTTTTTAATAAAAAGAAGTCATTGTTGAGATAAAAAGGGGGGGGAGTGTTGTGGTTCTTTTGCTTTTAATATCTTTAGAAATACAGGTAAGATTGATATTTTTATGTTTATTAATACATAGGTTTTGATGGCTTTGAAAACACTTTACCCTTCTCAAAATATTATCGGTATAATTATTGACCATTCTAAAATCATGTGCCACGTTATTACTATAACGATTCTATACAATAACTTATTCATTACAGGTTGCCCGCGTTATAGATATGGCGAAGATTGTACTCGATGTGATACGTGTAATGCTGAATGCGACGTAACGGGACAGTGTGATACGCACGGTTGTAAAGAAGGATATCATCCATCATTCTGCAAAGGTAATATATCATTCATTGTATAAATTAAAAAATAAAACTTATGGGTTATTCTAACTTTTTTAAAATAATTACATTGAGTTGGAGAATACACTCTACGATTTGTACTGGTTTACCTTTAACCCCCCCCTCCCCCTCGAGAATGATGATTATTATTTTTTTTACAAATGTCACAGTCGTTTTTTTTTCTTTTCTTAAGTGAATGTCCTTCATCTCAGTCTAATAAATGAATGCTGCAGTGAACAGTATCATGAACAAGAATCATCTATAAACACAAAAGAATATAATTTTTTCAGCTCACTAATTGTTTTTCCATGAGTGGATTACGTTAACATTTCTTCTCAAAGCAATGTCCTTTATTTTCGTTCAGCAGTGGGTGACCCAACAAATAAACGCTTATCAAGTTGTCTTCTCGTGATTAAAATCTTGATGTTGCATGTCAGATTCGTTTTGCGGCAAAATGCGTCTATCCGTATGAACCTCTGAAATTGAAAGTGAAAGTAGAAAATTCAAGACTTTTCAAGGATATTATAATTCATAAAACAATTCTGTTGATCATCTTGAAAAATTACAAGTCATTTGTCAAAGGAAAAAACTCCTTATCAATACGTATGAGGGTCAGTTAAGTACATTATGATACATGTATTAAGTTTACTCAAGTCTGCAGTTGAAGGATCTTGTAACGTGTATTTATAATGCATCACTCATCTACTAAATCTTACTTGTAGGGAAGACATTAGTTGATTTGTTTACATATAGTCATATTGTGCATGTACACAATTTAGAATCTCCATTAACATTCCTGTCCTTTTATATAATACAAAACTAAGTCAAAAGTATCTCAATTTAAACTTCTAGAACGCTAGAGTAATTGTGCGTGCATTGACATATACTGTATTCAATGAATCCTGAAAATCTACTGAAAACGGATTTTGCAATAATTTATCATTTAACAGTTGGTTTTGTCTAAAATTTCATACGAGTTTTTACCGGTCACGGTAGCCTAGTGGTAGAGCGTTCGCTTCGTGATCGGGAGGCCCGGGTTCGATTCTCGATCGCGGCGCCGCGTCATACCTAAGACGTAAACAAAGGTAGTGACTGTTCCTTCGCCAAGCGCTCGGTACTAGAAGTGAAAGTCACGGGTCTTTCGGATATGACCTTAAAAACGTAGGTTCCGTGTCACGGTAGGCGCTGGCACGATAAAGAACCCTCACTGCTCAATGGCCCTGAGTGCCGAGTATAGGTCTAAATTTGAAGCCCTTCACCGGCATACGGTGACGTCTCCACATCAGTGAAAAATTCTCAAGATAAACGTTAAACAATATACAATCAATCAATTAATCATACGAGTTTACATAAAGTAGCACGACAATTTATGTATCATTTCATTTGATACTACTATATACTGACATATTCTTACCTATTATCATAAATAAAAGACATATTTTCAGTTCATTAGTAATTAGGGATGTCAACGAATATTCGAGTACTAGCTCGACTATCGTTCGATCATACCGACTATCGACTAAAATTTCTTTAGTCGGTTATTCGTTAAAAATGTGCCTCATCAAAGTAATTTTGAATTCAAGTCAATAAACTTATATTTGCCAATTTCATTCATTTACAGATCAATATTTTAATATGTAAAATTAAGGGTACGGTACATGTATAACTGTTCAAAGGAAATTATTTGTACGTTGATGTATGTTCGGCAAACATGTCTTCAAAATCTCTAGTTTTGGTATAGCTTTAAAAAGGTAAACAGTGTTATCAAGGTTATGCGAAACAGAACTTGCATTCTACAGTGTAGCATTAAATATGATATATCATATGCCGATCAGTCAAACATACACACAGTCTTCGAGTGAAACTTTCCTATAGTAAGTTTTCTGCAAAAATGACAAAAAAGCACAATGGGAAAGAAAATCAAACATTTTTATTCATGATTGTCTACCTCTGACTGTTTTAAATGGAGAGGGTAATTGTTCAGTTTTTATTCAGAAAGAATATTAATTAAACAGCTATTTCAAAATTGTAAATGTAATCGGGGTAGTTATGAGAGTTATTAAACCATGTTTTCTATTTCTGAGATTAATTTCATACAATCATTGATTGTTTGCACAAGGTTTCATAATTTAAATTTATCCCAAAATCTCGCTCTCTCTTTGTTTTTATAAGAGACACGCTTTTAATAATTTACCTGTCAAAGATCATTGTCGGACGCGTAGAAATTGGCTTCAGTTATGGGGTACATGTTCTACCGTTATGTAAAAAAAGGACAAGTACGGGCGTTTGATATTCTACATGTACATAAAAATGTGCAGCTAATATATTTATTTTGAAATTAAATACATTGTATATACATATTGATGTACAGTTTTTATTGCATTTCGTAGATGTTTACAATTCAGAAATTCCTTGTTTAATGATGATCGTAGATTAAATATTATAAACTAGTCCGTAAAAGACAAATAGTGAAACTGGGAGGAAAAATAATCAAAATTAAACGAATATTGACTATCGTTCGACTAAAGCATCCGACTATTCGACTAAGCTGTACGAGTAAAATTTACATCCCTATTAGTAATATTAAATTTTTGACCAGGTTTCTTTTTTAATTAACACACCTTACAGCAAATTTAGCAGTGTTTGACAGTATCTTATGCAACTTTATGTTCACAAGCTTGCACATTCTTAACAACTAAACCTCAATAAGCAGTTAACCTGACTCATTAGTTATTGCTTAATATGCATAAATTTCCGCTTTACAAATCTCAGTTGCGTGAGTAGATCAATATTGTTTCCAAATCACAAGTTCAAAATATGGCAACAAATTTCATAGATTCAATCACTCATTCACTCATTGACTAATTGCATGCATCGCAATTGAAGACATGTGGATTTTGTGTTGATTGTTTTTCCCCTTCCCCAACATATTTGTTCAGCATACATTACTCGATTTTTTCTTAATAATGTCAAAAAAATTGTTTGAACTAAGAAAGGATACATGACATTTACTTAACATAGCGAAGACGGGGAACGTTCTGCTTAACCTACATCATAATCAAGATGCACATCGTCATCTTAGCTTGTACCCTGAAATCTTCAGGACCGTTTTTTATAAAAAAAAATTATCGAACGTTATAAATCCATATAGCCTTCATGTGTTTAAATACACCTGAAGATACTATCCTTTCTTATTTTCTATTTTTGAAAAATTAAAGTTTTCTTCTTTCTCTCGACATGGTGACAAAAAACTGCAGGAGTATGTAATTATAAAACAGTGAACTGAAATTTGGAGGTTAAGTGGAGGTTTATTGAACGTTAAAAATTGGCAAAGGTCTACAATTAGCAACCTGTCCATACCCTGCAGTAACAAATTTATCTGACTGAAGGTTACAGTTTTATCATTTAAATATTTTTGTAGTATGTATTCCTGGGATATTTGGCAATGATTGCAAAGAGGTATGTGGTTACTGTGAAAGAAAAGAGCCATGTAATCATATCAACGGATCATGTCCTGGATTGTGTGAACCCGGATATTATGGAGAAAAATGTCTCACACGTAAGAAAAACATTGCCTTAAAATCCTTTAACAACTACCCTTCCCTTCAAAAGAAAGTTTATAGACTGCTTATTCCAACTGATCATGAGTTAACACCTCTTTAAGGTTCAATTGGTCCTCATTTATTTTGCACAATTATGTGCAAGCAAAATAAATTTTGAACTTATGACAGTTTCTTAATGTACTTAATTTTCTAATTAGAAAAACAATCTTGATCATTTTTTTTAATCTTAAACTAGTATTTTTCCGTATTACGTTTTAACGAAAAGAGAGAGAGAGAGAGAGAGATACTTATATAGTGTTAGTAAAACAATGTATTGCTAGTTTAATCAAATTCAATAATCAGGGTCTATAGAAAAATATATAATTATGAATTCGATAAAACTTCGAAGAAATTCGGTATATAAAACTGCAGTTTGAAACATTTTATTCTAAACTAGCGAAATTATTTTTAAGAATTGATTCTGTACACTTTTAGGCAGTATTTCCTTCAACTGTCCTTAACATAAATATGTATTCTTTAGTATTCAAAGAAGCATTCAGATATATAAAAGACACCGTACTTTGGGTGAAAATAGTACTGTTTTTTTTCAGCCTGCAGTGGTGGTTTTTATGGCAAGAACTGTCATCGCCGCTGTGGACATTGCTTGCACAAAGCAAGATGTAATCACGAGACAGGTTATTGTCCAGATGAACTCTGTGAGCCAGGATATAAAAAAAAGAAATGTAATGAGGGTAAATATTGTGATACATGTAGATACTACCTGTGACAATCAAAATAAATTATTAGAAAAAAAATGTGTTTTTAATCCATTTCTTTTTTCAGAATGTGATGACGGGTATTTTGGCAATAACTGTAAAGAAGAATGTGGTCACTGTGCAGGTAAAATGCCGTGCAATAAAACTGACGGTACTTGTCCAGGAGAATGTGCAGATGGATGGATAACACCCCGCTGCAATGAAAGTAAATTTATTTTTTTGCATTTATTTTATAGAACAATCTAAATTTTTAAGGCTTCAATATTTTGCAACTGTGTTTTTCTATATATAAGGAATGTTCTGCTTAACCTACGTCATAATCAAGATGCACAAGGTCATCTTAGCTTGTACCCTGAAATAAAATCTTCAGGACCGTTTTTGCAAGATATATAGCAAACGGCATAGATCGATAGGCTACGCATGTACATGTACAAATACAAATGAAGAAATTTAATGGTGTTTTTTTTTCATCTCATCATGGTGACAAAAACTGCAGGGGCATACAACTGAAATTTGGAAGTTCACTGACAGAGGTCTACAATTAGTAACCTGTCCATACCCTGCAGTAACAAATTTATCTGATTGAATGTTACAGTTTCATCTTTCAAATATTTTCGCAGTATGTAGTCCTGGAAGATATGGCAAAGATTGCAAAGAGGTATGTGGTTACTGTGAAAGGAATGAGCCATGTAATCATATCACTGGATCCTGTCCTCGATTGTGTGAACCCGGATATTATGGAGAAAAATGTCTCACACGTAAGAAAAACATTGCCTTAAAATCCTTTGACAACCCCCCCCCCCCCCTCGAAAAAGGTTTATAGACTGCTTATTCCAACTTATCCTGATACAAGTCATATAAGTTTAATACCTGTTGATTATGAATGTGATTTGATATTTTTGGTTCTTTTTAGCGCATATTTGGGATAGAACAATAATGTTTTAAAATAATCTATTTTTAGCATTTAACACTGTTTTTGCACGTGCTTTCGGACAAAGGTCACCCCTTAACTTTCTTTTTGTAAAATCTTCTGCTTATCCAATTTTTTTTTTAAATCTATTCGACTATTTCTTTCAGATCAACTTTACTTTTGGATGTTTAAATATTCGAAAAAGATGAATTACCTTATGATATCATAAAATCGGCAAAAAATCTTACTTTCGGCAAACTCATTTTTGAAACGTGCTAGCGTATAACGTAAACTATACGTAATGCCCAAAAGGTGATTCGAAATTTCTTGACTTAATTGCAAAAGAGTCAGTTTGATTATTTGCTAGGTAATTCCAATACGAGGTACATTGTGTATAACTCTTTGAATTTGTTTCTACATTTTGAAATGAAGAGCAATTTCTTTTTACATTATTTGCATTTCTTAGGAATTTCAGGAATTCACTAGAAAGAAATAAGCTGTTCTGCTTATTAATAATATCATTATGTATTCTGCATAAGTAGTGTTTTTGTCTATAAACTGCAAAAAAGGTCATTTCTTAATAATTTTGATAAATTATTAACTTTCAATTTGTATATATATATATATATATATATATATATATATATATATATTCATACTTTCCTTTTTTTTTGCGTTATCACAAAGAAACACACACACAAAAAAATTGAAACACAAAAAAAAATTGAAGGTCTATTGTACTTATGATTTAAAAAAAAGCAGATGATAAAAAGAGTAATATGTAAAATTTGACAAAATAATGAAACAGTAAAGATACTGAAACAATGGAAACTGTTCTATATGCCCTGGAATCAATTGGACTTCCATATATATTCTGCATAATAAGCGTTTTTGTATTTAAACTGTTAAAAAATGTCATTTCCTTATAAAAAAGAAAATTCCATGTTTTCATTCATGGAACCCGCTATGAAATCATTTGTCTGAAAACTATCAACGTCTTAGATCTAAAAGCAAGTTTTTGATCCCAGATATGTCTTTTGTAGCATGTACGTTTGGAAGGTATGGCGAAGGCTGTAAGGGAATATGCGGTCACTGTGAAAGCAATAAAACTTGTAATTATGTCAATGGATCCTGTCCAGGGCTATGTGAACCTGGATATCATGGGGAGAACTGCCTAACAAGTAAGATATTAATAAATCAAGAATACTAAGATACGTAATTCAGTTTTTCTAATTACTTATACGTATTTTAGCAAAAATGAACAAAAGTTAATGAATACTCATGATAAACGGGGTCATTTATAAGTACAAAGACATGTCTTTCTTCATTTATATCCGCTTCGAATTAAATCGTCATGATTTGAAAAAAAATCTGATTTGTACAGTTTCAGTTTTCATTTAAATTCAGAACCAACTTTATAAGCTAAATATATTATCAAAATAGTTAAATTTAATATTTTTGGTAAGGGTATAAAATAAATTCTTTGAATTTTAAATATGATTATTATTGTAACTTAAATACATGTATTTATTTTACGCTCTATGTAATCTATGGAAGCCCATTTACGACCTCTAAAATATTTTGAAATTCAATAAAACGAATTGTCGAATTTGTTCTTTCTTTTTCTTATTCTTCATAGGCAGACAGGTAGCTGGGTAAATGAAAAAAGTTTCATATCACTAAGTTTCCTACATTTAATTACAACCAACATAGCAAACAATATTTATTTTGAAATTATTTAAAAAATTATTAAATCAATAAATAAATCAAAAACGTTGTTATGGAAGCCTGTAAATATCTGTAAATATAAGTCTCTTTGTCCGCTTTTTTGTCATGTTTGTTTATTGAGCAAGTTAGATAAATATACTTAGTCTAGTATCTATTTATATTTCCCATCCTATCTAAATGTATGTTAGAATAACATCTTTTAGTCCTCAGGTTGAATATTTTGCTTGTCATCTTCACTTTATATAGGTATTTTTATTATTTTTTTTTTTTTGGCAAGATCAATATTTTTCGAATATTTCAATGTTTTTTGAGTTTATGTGTTAATATTTGGCAGGATGAATTGACGGTATACCCCTTGCAATTAATCAATCAAATAGGACTCTTTTATAACTTTTTCGATGAATCTGCATACAAATATACGGCACAGTCACTTGTCTTGAAGATAAGGAGGCAGTATATGCATAACATAGTAAATTATACATTGATACCTTATCTGTACAGCGTGTTATAATAAATCATGTAAAAAAAAATATTTATATTGTAGTTAATGTATTCATTCTTTTTTTTCGTATAAGTCAATCAAAATTGACCCCAAAACACTTGTACCCCATTCAGAGATTTTTTCGAAAATTCCATGTGCCCTTCTTAAAAAGAAACATGGCTTTTCATATTTTTTTTATTTGAAGATAATGAACATTCTTTTGAATGATTGACGCTGGATGTGATTAAAAAGTATATCTGGTATGAGTCGAATGTGACTAATAATATGAAGTTCTAAAAATGTTGATCTCAAGACAATGAAGTCAAAAGTCTTAAACATCATGTTCCTGGTTTGCTTTTCTTTCTACATCTACTTTTACTAATAGTTTATATTGGAGTATGTCTTTATTTCAATACTTCAAAGCTCAAATAAATATCTCTTTATTTAAAAGGCTCATATAAGATGAAATATGTTTCAATTCTACTTTAATTGATAGTAAATGAATTATTTTTTTGATCTCATACTAACCAATCCAGTTATCATTTATATGCATTCTGAAGCATGGACTGAATGAAGAAAATTATTTCTTTCTTTACAGAAAAAGAAGGGTATCACCAAAAAACTGCAAATTTGTTGATTAGCTTTGCCGATTTATCTTTCCATTTCTCTTTTAGCAAACAACCAGGCGATTAAAAACAAAACAAACGCAGTCTTTTCCCAGGCTCTCTATGGTGTTACAATCATTCTATTTCTAAGCATTTTGCTCAACATATTTTTAATTGTGCGGTGAGTTTTGAACCTTTTATTATGTATTGAAAGTAGTATTTAACTAAAATGTAACATAAGAATTTCGATAAAAAAGCATATTTTCTTATTTGATACATATTAGATTGTTTTACATGTACATGTATCATGTTAATCTTTTAAAAATTAATGTTAAAGAAATGCCAGAAAATTCTCTAAAAAGACAAAGAGACAACAAAACTCAAAGAATGTTGAAAACAGACCTGTGAATAAAATATTAGAAGATAACGTAGGCTATCAAGAACTTGGAGAGTTGAGTCTTCCCTCCATTTATGAAAAAGTGGACAAAAAGGAACACAAGGAAAGTTACCAGGAACTTGGACAACTTAGCCAACCCTCTTTGTATGATAAGCTTAAAACAGATACATGAGGTTAAGTGTAAGGTTTTGTCTTTGAAAAAAAAATATTTCCATTTATTTTAAACCCTTTTTGCAATGTTGACAGGAGTACAAATAGAATATTTAATAATAACGTGTCACTTGATTGTGTGCTTTTTTCTTATTATGATTGCATTTGATGTAAGAAGATTGTTCTTTGAATTCCTTGTATTTAAAATGAAATTTAATGTTTCAAAACACATTGATGAGGATTAACATTGTTTCCAAAGAAGGGCTGTAAACAGTATATGTAAAATGTTTGCGCAGTTAAACACTGAGTTATTTTATAATATTTATTGCTATTTTTAGTAACCTTTTTAGCTTTAGATTCTGAGCTTTTCTGATCGAAATTTGTCTGTTGTCTGTCGTCGTCGTAGTTGTTGTAGTCGTAGTTGTCGTCGTAAACTTTTAATATTTTCATCTTCTCAACAAGAACCACTGGGCCAATTTCAACCAAACTTGGCACAAGGTATCCTTAGGCAAAGAGGATTCAAGTTCGTTCAAATGAAGGACCAGGCCCTTATTCAAGGGGAGATAATTGAGAAATAGTAAAAAATTGATGGTATGTTTTAAAAATCTTCTTCTCGAGAACCACGGAGTCAGGAAAGATGAAATTTATATGGAAGCATCCTCAGGTAGTGTAAATTCAAGTTTGTCCAAATCATAACCCCGGGGGTAGGGCGGGGCCACAATGGCTGATCAAAGTTTGGATAGAAATACAAAGGGAAATTCTTTAAAAATCTTCTTCTCAAGAGCTGGACCAGAAAAGATGAAACTCATGTAGAATCATCCTCAGGTAGTGAAGATTCAAGTTTGTTCAAATCCCTGGGGGTGGGATGTGGCCAAAAGGGCAGATCAAATTTTTAAATAGAAAAATACAAGAAAAATCTTTAAAAATCTTCTTCTCAAGAACCACTGGGCCAGGAAAGATGAAACTATTGTGGAATCATCCTCGGGTAGTGAAGATTCAAATTTGTTCAAATCATGATCCCGGGGGGTAGGGTGGGGCCAAAATGGTCGATCAAAGTTTTACATAGGAATAAACATGTATAGGAAAAACTTTAAAAATCTTCTTTTCAAGAACCACTGAGCCAGGAAAAATGAAACTCATGCGGAATCATCCTCAGGTAGTGTAGATTCAGGTTTGTTCAAATCATGACCCCTGGGGTAGGGCGGGGCCAAAATGGCAGATCAAAGTTTTACAAAGGAATAAATAGGAAAATCTTTTTAAAAATTTTTCTCCAGAACCATTAAGACAGGAAAGATGAAACTCATGTGGAATTATCCTCAGGCAGTGTTGATTCAAGTTTTTCCAAATCATGACCCCCAGGGCTAGAGTGGTGCCAAAGATATCCGACCAAAGTTTTACGTAGCAATATATAGGGAAACGTTTAAAAATCTTTTTTTTCAAGTACTTCAAAGCCATAATTAGTAATATTTATATGGAATCATCTTCAGGTAGTGTAGATTCTAGTTTGTTCAAATCATGATCCCCTGGGGGGTTGAAATTCAAGCCCTTCCCCCAACCTCAGTAAACTCTCAGTTCTGATCTGATATGTGCTTTTTCCTAGCCTATGGCTCAGGTGAGCGCTGTGGCCTCTGGGCCTCTTGTTTTCTTTTTCAACATGAAACAGAAAAAGATAAACGCCGATATATCTTGAAACAGGTTTACACACAGTACAGTGTATACTAGGTCAATGCACGATCATATTAAAAAAATACCTATGTGCACAACTTTAATATTTAATGCTTCTATTACCTAAATTCAGAAGGATTTCTACTGCAGGTTTTGTCGTTTCAAATAAGACTTCTGAATTAAATTTTCATTTAAAGAGAAATAATCCAACATATATCGAGGTTTTGTTTATATAGATCGCATTTCCTTTACATATATCGAGGTTTTGTTTATGTATTTCACATTTTCTTTATATATTGTTTTTCTTTTTATATATTGCTTTCTCTTTATATATACAAGTTGGCACTAATATGCTTCCGTATATTTTTCATACATTTTAACGACTTAAACAAACAAGTAAAAATCTTTTAAAAATCATAATTAAAAAAATCTTAAAGTGTTATGATTTGAAAAAAAAAATATGCTGTGTCCCGAATAAAGAAAAAATACACAAATACATTATAATGCCTTTTGAAAAAAATATATATCTCAGGTAGAAGATTAGTGTACAATGTGTATAGGGCATTCTACATGTATCACTTTGATAGTTTCTTTGACCTGACTCAAGCAACTATGTCTACATAAATTTAGGAGAAGGTCCAGTATTTCCTCTTAGACAGGAGTATGCATCCAATGTTTTGTACCATTAATAAAAATGTGTTTTTTGATTGCGTGTCATATTTCCATGATGTCATTAGGTTAGAATAAGCTTTTTTTTCTATTTTCTTATTATATCAAGGATTAAATACTGTCACATTTACAAGTAATCTATCCGTATATATTATCTTACATATACAAATTCTTTGTTATCCTGTCGGGGACCTCTTTTATTTTATCCTTTATTGAACCTCAGTTCTTAAGGCTATTAAAGTAAACCTCTCTTATTCCAGTCGTTTTACACTAGAACAGGTTCATTTTAGTTATGTTAAAGTGTGATAATTAAAAATTATACTAAGCCCCAATGACTTGTGAGTGGAATCAGGATATATAAAAATTATCATTCACTGATTTTTACAACAAGTAAGCCTTTCACCTTTCACTGACTTATAATTATTTTTTTTAATAAATATTTTATTATGTTAGATTACATAATTGGATTGGACATCAGGCATGGCTTATAAATTAAGTATGACATTGAGTATACATTTGACTTATATTACAAATATGACATTCACTGATTTCTTGTAACAAGTAAGTCATTCACTGACTTAACTAACAGGTAAGGCATTTACCGATTCATAAAACAAGTCAGAAATTCACTGACTTACATAAAAGTATGTCATTCACTGACGATAATAAAAACAAGGTCAAACATTCAAATCTCATAAAACAAGTCAGACATACACTGACTCTTTTATAACAAGTGGGAAATTCACTGACATGTGTAACAAGTAAGACATTCACTAAGGCATATAACAAGTAAGTAATTTCCTGATTTATATAACAAGTAAATCATTCACTGACGTATAGAACAAGTTAGACATTCACTGATTCTCTGCATATCATTTATTATTGAAATTCTCAGTTTACCTGGCTTTGCATGTGTCTTTTCATATCTGAATTAAATTCAAGTATTTACATAAACTTGACATGTAATGAACAATATTAATCCAAATTTTCATATAAAGGAGTTGCAAAGTCATCAAAACAAAGCAAAAACAAAAAAAACTTGACATGACACAGTCTGTTTTGCAAAACATAGTATTTTCTATATCCCTGACTTATATGTTTTTTGTTATAATAATAACTTGTTCGTCTTTTGCACAAAGTATACATTAAATGCCAACAGACGTGGTTTTTTTTTCAAAAAACGCTTTTAGAGTTGAGTACAATATAGCCTCCCCAAATCTCTTCTGTCCGTTGGAAGTAAAATTCGACATATTGGAAATTTCAGAAGAAAAATAAAATGAATCTGACATCTTAATGTTTGTTTTTCGTAAATTAATATTTATCTTATTTTATGATAAGTGTTCGATAATTATACACGTTTTGGTTTATTTCTCCCTATAAAATTTTATAACTGTTACCCGTGCGTTTAAACAATAAAACAATGAAAATATCGAAAATGTATAATAATGTGATTAGGGAAAAATTTCTATGACAAATCATAATCGTATTTCACTTTTATTCAAACACCAGGCATTAATAAAACATGCATCTCTAGACATCATGTTAAGTTTACATACGATTCATGTTACGAGTTACAACATTAGTGTAAAACACATCTTTTTTTATATTTGAGAGCCCCCTTTTTGGATTTTGAGTGGTTTTTTTTTTTTTTTTTTTTTTTTTGCCGTATTATTAAAAGGGAAAACAAACTTTTTCTCTTACACTTAAGACTTCCTTATTGCTTCCAAGTTCACAAGAGGTAATTTTTATTGGTTGCCGTCATACGATGGTCTCTTGACACACTTTGCAACCTCTGAAAACAGGAATCTACCACTTATATAAAAAAGTGTTGTTAAAAAAAACTCATCTAATTAATCAATACGACTTGCATTCAGAATTTAGTTGTTTTTTTTTAAGAACGGGTTATCTTATAGTCCTGAGATCGTAAAATAGGAGGACCATATGCATAAAAACGTATTTTCCTGAATTTTTTATGGTTTTCATCGTACTGTCTCATAGAGCATTAAGATCTGCAGCATTTACCTTTAGAATAAATTTTCATCAAAGAATTCCGAGAGAGCAAACATCAATTAATTTACCGAAACGTTATTTTTCTTGGCTGAATTTTTTTCAGTTTTATGCAATGAATATACAGTATCTGGCCCTATACATATTTAATAAAACAAAAAAAAAAATAAAAAGAATAAATTTTAGAAAAAAAAAATTATGTATGTATGTTGTTTTTCTCGATCTACACTCTTTTATGAAACTGAATTCCAAGGCCTTTTTATTGATAATATTTTGTAACACACAAAACAAATTTGATTGTAAAATTATCGGATTCTCAAAATATCAACAAATTTAACATCTCCTTAACAAACTGAAATAGGCTCAGAATTATTTTTGAAACTAGTAGTGTAGATCCTCAGCAGAAAGCATGGTGCACTTTAGATAAACAGTAAGTTATCAATCAAAGTTTCATTGTACGTTAAAAAGATTGAACATTGCCATTAAAAATATTTGAATTAATAATGCATTTTAGATAAATAATTTCCTTTTTAACTTAGTTGCTCTAGATCTGTGCATGTCATTATGTGCTAAATTTTAAACACTTGTTTGGATTTAAAGACTCATTCTATGGATATTTATAAAAAAGATTTGCAACTTCAATTCCATTCAATCCACCGTTCACGGTAGCTCAGTC